ACAGGCTGCTTTCTGTGTTTCTGTTTCCTCTCCATCCTCCTCCTGCAGGAGCAGAGCAGGATCAGGACTCTGGACCTCGGCCTGACCCACCTGAATGCCTCAGTCTCTGGCCTGAAGCACGCAGACAGACAGCAGGACGCCAAGATAAAGGTGCTGGACACCACCTTCAACATCCTCCTCCAAGACGCCAGCCGACACAGCAGGGTACTGAAGATGTTGCTGGGAGACGAGGTGATCGACTTCTTGAAGATGATCAGCCTGAGGGAGAAGGAGAGGCAGGACCACGAGGACGAGGAGGAGGAGGAGGCTGACTTCATCTCCGTCCAGGCTCTGAAGGAGGACCTGAGGCACCTGCAGGAGCAGCTGAGAGAACACGAGCATACGATCATCATGCTGAAGCAGGGCCAGACGGGTACGCCTTTACTGTGAAGGGACAGCTGCAGGCAGCTGATGCTTTTATTTTGAATGAGCTATTCTGTCAGGGTTGCCCCCTGCTGGATGTTAGATAAAATGTACTTTTAAGAAGCTGCTTCCTGTTTTTGCTTCAACTCATTTTTGACTCGTCTGTTCTCAGGAGGCAGAGAGGAGGTGCCATCTGCAGACCAGCCTCCCTCCTGGTTGCCCGGTGACCCAAGGAGGGGCGGCGGCGACGGACTTCCTGCTAGGGAGCAGCAGATGCTCTTCCATCCCGGGGATGGCGGTGACCTATGGAACCTGGAGAGGAAGGTGGAGGAGGTGGAGCGCAGGCTATCCCAGCTGGAGGAGAAAACGTGCTCCTGCCCCAACGCCTCACGTGTGGCTGCCACGGTGATGAATGAGGTGACTTGGCTGAAAAAGGGGCTGGAGCAACACCTGGGGGTGTTCAAGAACGTCTTCAGCAACGCCGACGTGCTGGCGAGATCCAACGCCACGCTGGAGCTGGATAAGCTGTGGCAGCTGCTGAAGAAGAAAGAGAAGAAGAAGCAAGGAGGACGGAGGGAGGAGTCAGAGAGGGGAGGAAAGCGGCGCAGCAGGAGGGAGTCACCAGGTGAGGTTTCAGGTAACACACTGCTGCCCAACAGTGTCTTAATGTTTTATTGATAATAGTTGTTTGTTTGTTGGTTTTTTTCTTTACATCTTCTTCCATTGTCCCCTCCTCTTCTCTCCAGGTGAACCCATCCCCGCCAGCCTATCAGAACGCGCCCCGCTGTTCGTTGCTCGGTCTCTTCAGAGCGTCTCTGGCGTTGTTGTTTTTGAGCCGTCTTTGACCCAGGGTCAGTTTTACTCTGGCAGTACCTTCACGGTTCCAGTGGATGGGATCTACCTGTTTGTCCTCACCTTGCACCTGAGACCAGGCCCCGCCCATGTGGTCCTAAGGAGCATGGGGGAGGAGGAGGAGAAGGGCGGAGCGTGGGTGCCTCTGCAGAGGCAGGAAGTAAGTAAGGAGGGGCCGGCTACCGGGGTCAGCCTCCTGCTGCTGAGGGAGGGGCAGGAGGTGAGGCTGGAACTGAGGGGAGGAGACTGGGCGGAGTCAGAGGACAACATGTTCGCATGTCTGCTGCTCTACCCAACCACCTGAGAGCGCTGTGGACCAATCAGCTGACAGCTGAAGGAACTGGTTGGATGAATGGACGGATGAAGGCAGCTTAGAGGACCAGGAGGAGTGAAATAATCCGATGTTGTGATTTCAGCTCAGAAGAAGAATTCTGTTTTTTTTAATGTCATATTTAGCGTGACGGCCAGTTTGGTTCCAGCAAAACACTGAGGAAAAGAATATGCTAGAAATGAGCAAAAGAAAAAATCTAAACCTCTCAAACCTACAGTATGCACTCACTGCCACTTTATTAGGTGCATCTTCCTGTAAATATCTAATCAGCCAATCACAGAGCAGCAGCTCAAAGCATTTAAGCATGCAGACGAGCTGCTGAAGTTCAGACTGAGAAAGGAGGAGTAAGAGACTCAAAGTTGGTCTGAGTGTTTCACACAGAGCTCATAGAGGAAACATCCAGTGAGCAGCTCTCAGGGAGGAAATGACTCGCTGAGGTCAGAGGACGATACACAGACTGCTTCAAGCTGATAGGAAAGAAACGGGAAGTCACTCGTTACAGCCGGGCTCTGCAGAAGAGCATCTGTGAATGTGCAGCAGCAGCAGAAGAGCAGTCCTGTGTTAAGAACAGGAAGCTGAGGCTACAGCTCACACAGAAACCTGGACAGCAGAGGATGGAGAAACGTTTCCTGCTCTGTGAGTGTCAGATGGTCAGAGTTAATCCATCCTGCCTGCGTCAGACCTCAGCCTGCTGCTGCTGCTGTGATCAGGGCCACGCCCGTCCTCTGATGTCACAAAGCGAGTTCACTCAGGCGGCTCCACAGTCACAGATCTCAGTTTAACAGAGCAGCTTTGAGATGTGGAGGAGCGGGAGGGTGTCATCACAGATGCAGCAGCTGAGTGATGATGTCGTGATGATGTCGTGTCACCATGGATGAGAACCTTGTCATGTCTGTCGTGAAGGATTAAAGCAGCTCTAGGTGTACCTAATAAAGTGGCAGTAAGCCTCCAAACTACATTTTTGGTTCTACTGAAAAAAAGGCGGACGTCTGTGTGATCTTCATATGGAGAGTAACTCCTCGTTTTCATGGACGTGAAGTTTATGTTTTTATTTTTTTAAATTGTCAACACTTGCCCCGTGTATCCTGTCAGCGTTGATTCTGGGAGTTGAAGGACGGTTTGACCCGATGAGTCTTTGCTCGTGTTTTGAATCATTAGACTAAAACAGAGAGCACAGCTCAGCCTCGTGTTTCTAACATTCAGTTGCAGGTTTTGGTTATTTAAAGGTTTTTAAAAGCAGAGCTCAGCAGGAAAGCTCTGGTTTCATACATGTGACAAAAAAAAAGGATTTTCTTCTTCTGCTGTCAAAACTACAGAATCGACGTCTCCTGAAAACCCTCAGCTCTGTGCAACGCCGTGACGCTGAAAGTCTGGACGGACTTGAGTGAAAGCCACGCCCGTGTGATGGGTGGGGCTTATAGCAGAGAGCTCATACAAGCTTAAAAATGCTCAATTACTGACCAATCAGAGTGGACATAAAGTGGGAAATGTTTTTGTTATTTTAAACTTGAGGCAATTTTTAATTTTTACTTTATTTTACATGAAGAAAATATTTGAATGTAAAGTCACGAGTTTCATGATGTAAAAACACAGCAGAAAATATTTAAATAAACCCTGAATGAGACAATGAACCAGTGAGACTTTTTCCTTTAAACATTTTATTCGTCCTCTCGTCTGTGTTCACTCTACAGCGTAGAAAAATAAGCATCAAAAATATACCAACGAAATCAAAATCCACTGTGGCAAAGCAAACGTGATGCAAAAATAACTTCATCTGAAACATCAACCTTTCACTCCGAGCTCACCTGGAGCACCACGTGGGTGGAGCCAGTGCCGGTCTTGGCAGAAAGTCTAACAAGCCAATCGGAGTAAGAAAAATAAGGGAGGCTCCTCCCCCAAATAAATGGGAGGGATGTCGAAAGAAATTGGCAACGAGCGAAAGAAACGTCTATCGTAACACTTGTGAAGTGCGCTAAAAGCGGTCAAGCTACCGCGCTAACAAACGTCATCACGGCAGCACACGAACACCTGCGACAGGTGAGCTGAAGACATGCTAAATATTAGCTGCTCAAACAAAGCTGCGGTTATTCTTCTACAATAATCTAGAGAAGAGAAATGAGCCGGCCGGGCTGCGACAGGTGAGCACGCTCAGGTTAGTTCGCCTACACACAACTACAAAAATCACCAGGAGGCGTCACGACCCGCAAACAACTCCTGATGCTCCAGTCAAAGTTGATCAACTGGACCAACAGAAGAAAGTCCTCCACCCGTGAGCCAGCATCCACCCGTCACTGAACGAGCTGAAGCCCTCATTGTTTATATACAGGTGGACCAGAGCGCCCTGCTTTTGCGGGCCGGTTCTGGCCCCCGGACCGTATATTTGACAGCTTTTCAGTTAAAACCTCCTAACAGACTAAAACAAAAAAAAATGATGCTGAGGTTAATGCAAACTGCGCCGGCTCGTTGGGGACGTTCCTCTGAAGACGGTCAGGAGCAGAGTGGTGTTATAACGCTGGCGTCCACCAGGGGGGGCTCACGCGATAGCAGGTGAACCCACGCCAGGCATCGCAACCGTTTGTTAGCGTTTAAGTTTACAAGCAGCGCGTCTGAATTTGAGCTTTACAGAAATTATCAAACACTTCTCTAAGATCAGGACCTCGAGCGTGCTTCAGCTCTCAAACCAAGCCGCTCTTTGCTTCTGTCCAATCAGAGTTCAGGGCCGAGCAGACAGCAGGTCGCCGCTCGGAGCTTCGTGATGTCAGAGACGTGTTGGTGTGCGTGAGCTCGGCGAGGCGAGCGGAGCAGCAGGAGATCCGTGATGAAGAAGTGAGGATGAGAGGGCGACACTGCAGAGCCAATCCAAGAGTTTTCCTTCAAAGTGACATCATCACGCCGCACACACAGCGTTTGAGCTCCTTCACGATGTCAGCGAGCCACATTTGCAGTAAAACTCTCGCTGTGGTCCGATCAGCTGGTTGGCCGGAACCGAGCCACGTAGGCACCGCACGAGGAGCAACAGGAGCGCGCCGGCTCGGCAGGAAGCTGCTGGCAGAGCGAGCAGAGCTGGGGGGGCCGGCGGGGCCGAGGAGGCTGCGGGTGGCGAGCGAGGCGGGCGTCCCAAGAGGAGCTGGGCTGGACTGTCCTGGAGTTGGTATCGCATCGCCAGTCGCCGTCTGGGGGGATGTCCAGGCGGAGTGGGTGGGCAGGGCCATCTGACGCTCTGAGGTGGTGGGGGCGTAGCCCAATGAGGGGTGCCCGTAGTGGCCGTTGGCGCTGGCGGCGGAACGACGAGGGCGGAGCATGGTGGCGTAGAGGCTCTGCTGTCCCAGAGGGGAGGCGGGGCCGGTGCCAGCTCTGGGCCTGGGGAGGGAGGAGGTGGAGGGAGGTGGGGCTCGGCGAGGAGCTCGAGGCAGCGTGCCGTAACTCAGCGGGACGCCGTGAGCTGAAAGAGTCTGACGCCGGTCAGGCACAACCAGAACGTGCTGCTGGATGCTCGCACCAGCTCCTGAGGAAGAGGAAGAGGACACGTCAGGCGGCGTTCACGCTTTCTGCCACACCCTCAGCGCTGTGCAAAAGTCCTGAAGACGACCGGCAGAAATGAGGCGGGGCTCACACCAAACAGCCCGCCTCCATCATGTTTCAGTAACTCTGCACACGTTTCACTTTTTCCTACAAACGGTGACTCAAGACTTATGCACAGCACTGTAGGCGTGACGGCTTCACATGTACAGCACGGCAGCAGGGTCACATGACTGCAAAGGAATCCTGTCACTTTGATCATTTCCAGGTTTTCACCTGTGAGCAGGTTGCCATGGGAACGCTGGGAGCGTTTAATCAAACTAAACTGTCTGAACTACAGAGAGAATCTGACTTCAGCATTTGTTGAACTGCATTTCCCAGCATGCCCGGCCAGCTGCTCTGAAGATGGAGGTGAAGGGCCGGCACGTTACCTGAGTGTCCCCAGGATGAGGGCCTGGAGCTGGGGGGCTGTGATGTCTGCGTGGGGGGGTGCTGTGCAGGAGGAGAGGGGCCGTGGAGTCGGGGCTGGTGGTGGTGGGAGTGGTCTGCAGTGAAGGAGGGAGAGGAGGGGGGATGCAGGGTAGAGGAGCTGGAACGACGCAGGAGGGAAGAGGAGGAGGAAGAATGTCTGAGGGGGGGTCTGGACACAGAGGGGTCCTTCAGGAGGAGGAGGAGGAGGAGTGAAGGTGGAGGCGTCAGTGAGAAAACAAAGGGAGGGGGAGAAATGAAAACATGTTAACGTGATGAAGAAAAAAACACACATGAAACAAGAGCGAAAAGATAAAAAAAAACAACAAACATGGGGGAGGGGCTTGCATCTTTGAGATGCAAGTCTGGGGGTGACACCATGATCGTGTCTGCGTGCACACTGCTGAATGACTCAGTTCTCCCCTCACGTTGTAACAGATTTAGGAATCAAACCCTCGGGCCGAGGGAACGCGGTGAGGATCTGACGCCGAGCGCCGCTCAGCTGTCGGGCTCTGAGGTTAGAAGCTTAATGGGAGAACTAAACTGCCCATCAATGTTTAATGCGGCGGCCTGAGGCGATTCCTGAGGCCTGAATACGAGATGGCTGAACGCCAGCGGCGCCGAGAGCAGAGCGAAGCGTGCAGAAACACAGGAAGCTGCTGCTCAGAAATATTCTCCATCCTCATGAGTGGTAACGTGTTTATGAGGTCACAGGCTAAAATGTGACAGCGTCACTCGATGGGTGTGACTCGAGTTCACCTGGACAGGTTCACTGATTTTTAAAGATGCCTCATTTTTCTGTGACATGGACGGAATAAAGAGGTTTCCCTGCTCTGCACCAAAGCTGAGCTCCAGGCTGCAGTTACAAGGTGCGACCACAAGGTAGCAGAAGGAAGCTGCTAGTGCCTCTGTGTGTTCCTGTCTAACTATCTTTGTGAGGACCGAAATCTGCATTCTACTACACTTGTGAGAACCGGTGTGTCCTCACAAGTTTGAAGCCTTTCTGAGGCTCAAAATGTGGTTTTAGTGTCAGGGTTACAATTAGGTCATGGTCAGGTTTAGAGTCCGGGCTAGGGAAACCATTATGTCAATGAAGGTCCTCACTAAGATAGTTGAACGAGCTTGTGTGTGTGTGTTTCTCTCTTACACAGCTGTGGGAGGGGGCGAGGTTTTGGGGTCGCGACCCGATGACGGTCCCACTGAGGCTGCGGGCGATGCGTCGCAGGTTTTCGGCGCTGTAGCTCTCGTCTTCAGCTGACGGCGGCTGCAGGTCAAACAGGAGAGTTCAGTTTTTTTAACAAGGTCGCACAAACAACGTGAACGCCGTCATCGGCTGAACGCACAGGTGTGCACACCTTCTGCAGGCCTGCTATTGGGGTCCTGTAGGCGTCTCTCTCGATCTCAGCTGTCGGCGTTTTTGAGCGTCCGGGACCCAACTGCCTCCTCCTCACGCCTGCACGCACACACACGTGCGCACACACACACACACACACACACTATGAACATCATTTATAGCTCACAGTCACACGGGCAGGATGGCGTCTGCTATCAGCAGCTTCATGTCTGTGACGTAGAGGAGCTGAGACCAGCGTTGGTGCCTCACGTTTGATCCGTTTCACTCACTGCAGGAAACTTAAAGTGCATTGTGGGTAAACACGGAGCAGGCGTTGCTTCTGCTGGAACAATCTGAACTTGTTTTATTAACTCGTGTTAGCAGCGCCATCAGTTCACGTTTATGACGGCATGAACAGGTCAGCTGAGCGAAGGCTCCTGATTGGTTGGAACTATTAATAAATGTCCAGCTTCAACCTCTGAGGCACCAAACGCTGCAGTTCCACTGACGTCCAGCAGAGGCTCCTACCTGGTTTGCTGCCGCTCGGCTGGGGGCTGACTCCCCGCTGCCCCGGTGCATGCTGGGAGCCAGCAGACTGGCCTGGTACAGCGATTCCAGCTCTGACAGCTCTCGCCGGGCGTCACCAGCGCCGCCGCACCATCCCCCTCCCCAGTGCTCTGGAGCCATAGTATCTGTTGACGTTTTCAGCCCAGCGTTCCACGGCACGCCACTGTGGGCGGGGAAACGGGCAGGTCCGGGCGGCTCACTGGGGGAATGTTGGCGGGGGAGTCTGGCGGTGAGTACAGGTGCGAGCTGATTGGTGGACTGGGAGAGTCGATGACGTCTTGGTCTAGGTATAAGCACGACCAGTTCCTGGTTGCATGAGGGGCAGGGGGCGGGGACGGTATGTGGCTGGAGTCTGGGGGTGTGGCCTGAGGCTGCCGGGTGTAAGACGGTTTCAACGTCTCAACAGGTGACAGGATTTGGGGATGCAGCCGGGGTGGGGGCGGGGCTTGTACTGGAGGCACTGGGGCAGGAGATGTTATGGTCCACTGCACTGAAAGCTCCTCCTCTTCAAGCGGAGGGGGTGGAGCCAAGTCTTCCACAGGGGCATCCACACAGAGAGCAGGGAGGGAGCCGACGCTACAGAGGGTCTTCCTGTCCTCCCGAGGTGAACCTGAAGGGGCGGGGTCAGACACCAAGGTTGACTGGGGAGGCAGCGACCTAATGAGGCAGGTGGAGGGAGGCGGCGTCTGCTGGTCCACAGAGGAGGCTGATTGGCTGCTGTGCATCTCTGTCAGAAGTATTCGGCCCGAGAGAGGCTTTTCACTTTGGGGGGATAGGATAGAAAGGCGGGGGGGAGAGAGGGGTGTGTTAATGACTGGCTTTACGCCAGAGCTCTGTGTAAACTTCAAATATCTGCTCCATTTATCAAGACGTCACATATTTGCAAAAGTGCTCTGACGTTTTCAGAGACGTCTGTTAGCCACCAGCTGACCGCACAGCTGGAGTGGCCATTGGGCATGCCGGGCATTTGGCACTTTCATTTTCTAACGGTATAAACGATGATGGTGGTGAATTAGCCAATTGGTCATGATCAACGCTGGGCTGGACCAATTACAATACATCCATGTTGAGGTGAAAAGGGAAGCGATTTGTCCCGGACTTCAGCTACAATGAAAAAAGACACAAAGCTGGAGTTATTCTGTGTCTTTGCTGCACAGCTGTTTCTTCTTCTCTCATTCTCCCCCCTCCCTCTCCTGTATCTACTTCAATCATGAAACTGATCAATGATCAGCTGATCGGCTCTCTTGTTTGTTTATCGCCCACTTTGCGCCAGAAACAGGAAACCAGCGGATGTCGCGCTAAACAACAGCAGCACATTTAAGCTTGATCAGCTGTTGTTAGAATTTATTTAATATTACTTTCTAGTATCAGCTGATGTTTGTGGGAGCCACAGCTGGAAAGCTGCTGGTCATGATGTCGGTTTGGAAACATGAAGGTGATACAAATCATACATATATACAACAGTGTACGTCACTGTCACAGCAGCTTTGCTTTCGTTCAAAGGCTTTATGGTTTTTCATGTAATACCTGGTGGGCCGGTCAATACCTGGGGCCACGCCTTGACCACCCGGTCAGCTGGTGGGTAACAGGCATCTCTGGAAACGTTAGAGCACTTTTGCAAATATGTGACGTCTTGATGAATCGAGCAGATATTTGAAGTTCACACAGCAACATCCTCACCTGAAAATATCTTAAACGTTTATTTTGTGACCCAGACAGAGTAATATTTCAAACTTGGCCACTCTGTGTTTTGGATGAAATGCATTCTGGGATATTTGCCTGTGTTTAGCTACAGCAGCTAACAAGCTGATTGGAGACCAAAACAGCCAATCAGAATTTTTTGCATCCAAGTCTGTGATTGGCTGGTTTTGTGGCACAAATATAACGGTGTAGAGAAAGAGCTGAGCGCACACGGGCAGAAATGTTGAGAGCGCGAGCAACACATGCAAAAACTGAGCGAGAGGGGCTGCTGTTGTGTGTGTGTGGATAATAGCAAACACTGAAACACAGTTTTTGCACGCAGCGATGAGTTTTGTTCGCTCAGATTTAGCTTTTCTTCGCTCAAAACAAATTTCTCCTCAAAATGCAAAACTTGCAAATTTTTCTTACGTGCGCTCAGATTAGTGGCACAAAAATAACGCCACATCATCGCGTTAGAACCACATGTGTGAGTTTACTGCACGAGACTAATAATTACTGCCCGATTTATTCTCAATTTATTTTTGCTCTGGTTGAAGCTCTCGTCAGGTTCTTACATCAGCCCATGAGGAGGTAAGATGTCAGGAGTTTTGAGCTCAGCTGAGGATTTACACCTCCAACCTCCACAGGTTCTGTTCACACATCAGGAATAACAAGGTTTAATACACAGAAGGTAACAGGGCGCCACCTGCTGGTGCGTTCTGATTGGCTGATCAGGCTGCAGCGGTACCTGTGCTGTTCCTGGAGCTGCTGCTCCTCCTGCTGCTGCGGTGGTTTCTCTCTGCCTGCCTCTGAGTCCTGCTGTTGTTGCTGCAGCAGTTGCATGCGCTGCTGCAGGCTGCGGGCTCTCCTCATGCAGCGCTGCAGCCGGCTGTGACTACTAGCTCCGCCCTCAGCCACCACCGGCCGCAGTTTGGCTGCAGCCGGGTCACAATTCAACAGAAAATCCACAACAGAAGGAAAATGAAAAGAAAACAGAAAGAGAGAAAAGAATAAAAAATGAACCAAAGATGCAGAAAAGAACTCGTTATGATGATTTCATGCAAAACATTCTGACAAAGAAAACTCACAGCTGACAGGAAATCAAACATCGCACTGCTGACATGAAGGTGGCGTGGTTATTAACGATGAAATGGAGAAATCAAGTCCAGACAGAAGGTTAAAGTAAGAGAATCACAACCAAAGAAAAACAACCCGGCTGTCAGCTTCGAGGACGCCTCCGACACGCTTGATCATCTACGGGTGACGGCGCTGAACCGCACGTTCACGTGTGACCTCACAGCGCAGGAAGTCACACATGAACCAGTAATTAACAGAGGCTGCTGTGTGATGCAGCCCAGTGTGAAACAGCCTTTCTGTGCTTTTCTGGGATGTTTGCAGGTGTTTAGAGGAGCAGAGCTCACGGCTTCTTAGATTCACTCCAGCTGCTTTTCTCTGTGGCGAGGAAAAACTGACGTGCTGTGATGATGGTCTGTTTGATAAATGGATGACTTTCAGAATTAAACTTCTTTCCAACAGAAGACAGAGGGACCATTTGGAGTTCCAGATTACTGACAGAAATGAAGTCGAACTGTGACCCCGTCCACCTCTGACCCCTCAACGTCTCCCGTTTACAGCACTGTGTCATCTGCATACAGTGACACTCTTCTTCTTCTACTTCCTCTCATCTTTATTCTCTAACAGAAGTTTAAAACAGGCGTTCTGAAGGGAAACCGTTAGTATCAGGCTGTAAGTATGAATATTCCTGCTCTATCGTTTAACATGGGAGTTTATGGGGACAGACTCACTGCTGCCTCTGCTGGACATAAGAGGATCTGCAGGGGGCGGGGTCACACTGAGGACATTTCCTGTCTATTTTTAACGAGGACAGTCTTCACTTTGTCCCACTACAGAATGAGCCAAATCTGATGAAGTGACTCGAACCCTGAGCTGAGTTAACACTCTGTGATATTTACAGACCCTCATGGTTCACATCTGACTGACACACGTGAAGCAAACAGCGGCGAATACAGACGCAGTAATGATGTCATCAAAAACCATCCCGATGTTTGTTTGGGTGAGTGGATTGTTTAAAGCTCGATTCAGCTTCTCGCGTTCGTGTGTGTGTAAGTCGGCCGTCAGGTTTCTGCCTGGCTGCGTTCAAAGTGAAGAGAGTGTGGTTAGTGGCAGTGGGAGGAGCTTACAGACAGCTTCATTGACAGCTGACAGCGCAGCGGCGACCTCGCCTGCCTGCTCCAGACGCATCGACTGGTCCAGCAGGAGCTCCGCCTCTGACACGCACCGCTCGTAAGTGTCCGATTTACCTGCAGAGCAAAAGAGGAAGACGCACACAGCTTTAAACTTTGTGTTTTCACGGAGTCCTTCCCGACTCCCCCGCGGACTTTCCACTGAACTCCCAACACCTCGATGCGTCTCTCCTTCTGCTCGCGACACTAGCTAACCGTCCAATCAAACAACCCACTCGCAGCACGAGACAAACGCCACATAACGAGAGAAAAAACAAAGAGGAAGCAACAAGAGTGAGAATTACAGCCAACAGGATTTTCAAAATAAAACCATTTTTTATGAAATCGTGAATTTAGTAACAGTCTGAGCTGAAGCGTGAAGAGTGTCAGTGTGTGTGTCTGTGTGTGTGTGTGTGTGTCTGTGTGTGTCAGTGTGTGTGTGTGTGTGTGTCTGTGTGTGTCAGTGTGTGTGTGTGTGTGTGTGTGTGTGTGTGTGTGTGTGTGTGTGTGTGTGTGTCAGTGTGTGTGTGTGCGTGTGTGTGTCAGTGTGTGTCTGTGTGTGTGTGTGTGTGTCAGTGTGTGTGTGTGTGTGTCTGTGTGAGTGTGTGTCAGTGTGTGTGTGTGTGTGTGTGTGTGTGTGTCAGTGTGTGTCTGCATGCATGTGTGTCTGTCTGCGTGTGTGTGTCTGTGTGTGTCTGTGTGTGTGTGTGTGTGTGTGTGTGTGTGTGCGTCAGCGTGTGTGTCTGTGTGTGTCTGTGTGTGTACCCTGGATCTGCAGCTGGTCCAGGTCCAGGTACTTGCTGGGTCTCGGGTTGAAGCCGAGCGCCGCCTCCCTCTCCTTCTCCTGCCGCCGCTGCTGCTCCTCCTCCCTCGCTCTCCTCAGCACCTCCTCCTGCAGCTCGTCCAGCTCGCTGCGGCCTGCAGAGGGCGCTGCAACAACACCATCAGCATTAATATATAAAACAAGTTTGCACGCCGGAGTAAAGTCGGCCTGTTGACATGCAGAGCTGAGAGCTCAACGTCTGCATGAGCAAGAACACGAAGACGTTCGTACCGAGGCTCCCCCTGCTGGACGAGCTGAGCTCCTGCAGCAAAGCGCCGCTGCTCTTCGAGCGGGCGTTCCTCCACGAGGGTCCTGAGGAGGAAGAGGACGACAAAGCCTTCTTCACCACACACTCCCTGAAGAGGAGAAACAGAGACACGTTTAGCGTCAGGAGCTGAAGTTTCATATAACAGAGCCAATCCTGAGTTTAGACTCCACTGAACACTCATATTCTGTCATACAGGTTCAGGGGCAGGGTCATTCTTTAATGACTTTACAAGAACGAACTCTCAAACCACCAAAGGAGTCACTTAGCATGACAGGAAAGTTTAACTGCTGCAGCAGGACGGGGTCGTAATCAGCTCTGCTCCTAATCTGACAAACCCGCTGCAGAAACACAGCGACGGCGATCCTGCGTGTTTTCTTTTGTGTATTATTTGTTTTTACAGGATCTGATTGGTGCAAATGGTTTATTTTTGCCAATTGTTTGAGTAAACAGGGCACATGGGCAGTTCAAGGACCACTGAAAAGGTGGAAATTTCCTGATTATGCCACTTTTTACAGCTTTGTTTATACAGATGAGAAAATGTGCATTTTTAAATCTGCTGAAGGATTTATTTTATATTTACATTATTTTTATTGCATTGTTTTCTTTTTATTTAATGGAGTTCTTTTATTATTGTACCTTTTATTTCACTTTGTGCTTTTATTATCTCATCGTATGTTGTTTTTTACGTTACTGTGTTCGCGTACACGCCATCTCACGTTTGAATTTACTCCCTTGTTCTGTCTTTAATAAATATAATTATTTTACTTAAACAGTGACTTCACGTAAGGTGCGATACGATCTGCCGACTGGAGTATTGATCGATTGATGACGACCTTCTGGAGCTCACCTGTCTCCCGGGTTCAGGTCCAGGCTGACCGGGCTGCTGCTGTTCCTCTCGCTGCTCTCGTAGCCGCTCTCCATCCTCTGGATCAGCCTGGGTGGAGCAGCAGGAGGAGCAGCGGGAGACAGCACGGCTCCTCCCGCTCCTTCGTTCTCACCTCCCGGTCCAGCTCCACCTCCTCTGTGGCTGCTGGAGAAGGAGGCGGGGAGAGTCCTGGAGGAGCCCGTCCGGACAGGCGTCACCTCCTCCAGGGCCGAGGAGGCGTCCTGAGCTCCACAGTCGTCGAGCAGCGGCGCTCCGAGGGGGCTGTACCCTGCTTGCCTCCGCCTCTCGCGGTTAAAGATGCTGTCGATGTTGAGCGCCTCCCTCCGGGGCCTCCAAGCCGGCCGGTACCTCCCTGTTCCCCCGGAGGAGCTGGACTTTGACTCGCTGCTGGTGCTGTCGGCCTCCCAGTCCTGAGCTTTCCCAGCGGAGGAGGAGGAGGAAGGAGCGGCGCTGCTGGCAGGGAGGTGGTGGTGATGGCTGCTGTTCGAGGAGGGGGTGATTTCAGAGGAGAAGCCGGCGGCCGGCAGAGATGTGGAGGAGGAGGAGGAGAGGGGTCGGCTGTGGATGATGTTGCTCATGGTCTCCTTGAAGTCTCGCAGGCGGCTGGTCGATGATGAGAAGGAAGACGAAGGTTTGGGGAGGTGACGAGGAACCTGCTGCTCCTTTAACGTCTCGCCTGGAGGAGGAGAAAAGCAGGAGTAAGAAAAGACGAGGAGGAGAAGGAGTAACCTTACCCCAGAGGAGAATGAACGAAGGAGGTGGATGAATGACTGGATGGGAAATAAAAACACGGCTTCACCTTCAGAATCAGCTGATCTACGCCCTGAGACTTTGCTCCACCCACATACACGACACCTACACAGCTGGTGCTGAATTATCAGAGGTCACAAAAATGCCACTAGATGGCGCTATGGCCCAGAAATCATCCTGCTGTGAAACTCGAGTGTTTGTCGCCAGGCTGAGCGTGGGCTCGTGATACTTTTAGACTCATGTCACATGTCAGGCAGTTCACAGAGCAAGTCTTTGGCCTAAGCCCCGCCTACCCTCACTGTGGTAACCAGCCGACGACGCTTCGTTCTCAGGTTTAGACCGCCGGTGGCGGCTAGCGCTCCGCCTCCTATCCCCGGCCACGCCTCCTTTCCTCGGAGGCTGATGCTGCTCACCGTCCGTCGCGTGGCCTTAGCAACAAGAAGCAGGGCAACACATGTTCACAGCGTGACCGCCATGATAGGAAAAAGAAGCAGAATGCATGAATGCGATTGGCTGCATAGATGGGTCACATGACTGAGGCGGAGCAATGAATGAATGTAACTGTCACGTTCATTAAATCCTGTTTCATCGCACCGAGCGTCCAAAGCACAAAGATGGAGAACGTTCGTTTATTCTGGAAGAAAATACGAAACATTTCCTGCTCACGTTGGCTGTTTGACGAAAATATGGTTTAAGCTCAAGATTAAATTAAAGCCCAGTTTATGGTAGTGCTGGTTACCACAGGAACACCAGCTCCTTTTTAAAAACTAAAGCTTCAAACTGAACACAGTTAAGAAAACTGGCTGTTGATGTGGGCATCTCTGCTAGGAAGACACCCACGCCTTCCATCTTTGAACTTAGGACCGCTGGTGGACTCACATGCTGGCAGACACTAAAAAGGGTTCCAGTGTCTCCGGTTCCCCCCTCTGACCCACCTACGGTATCCAGGCTGCAGAGCGAGGCGTGCGGGGCTCCGTCTGGGCGGTCGATGCAGATGACGGTTCCCTGGGAGTCGGAGGAGTAGCGACTGGCCAGGGACACATGGTGCGAGTGGGAGGGCTGTCGGTACGAGTAGCTCTCCGTCGACGAATCGGTGCGAGTGTCGCTGGAGATCGACGGCTCGCGGCCTGGGCGAGTGGGAGGCGGAGGATGGAGGGAGGAGGTCAGTGGAGATGGACTCACACAAACACAGCACAACAGAAGCACTCATCACATCAGACACGCCTAAACATTAAGAACTACTTCTACTGCTCCTCCAGCTGCCGCCTGCCAGTAAAAGTGTTATTGGAGCGACTGAGGCTGGTTTAGTTACCTGAGTGTTTGCTGCTGTGCTACTACTACGACTCCTAGCTGTGTTGTAGTTACCCGAGTCTTCGCTGTCGTAACAGGCCTTGTTGAGGTGGTGGAGGTCGAGGCGCGAGGGCAGGTCCTGCGCAGACACCGGCGTCCCCCGCGGGTCGGCGTACAGCAGCAGCAGCGGCTGGTAGTGGCCTTTAATGCAGCGCGAAACCACGTCGATCCACTTGGGCCCGATCTGCAGGACAGCGACGGAAACCAGCAAGACATCAGTGAGTCACAAACCTGCACACACACACACACACACACACACACACAGACACACACACACACACACACGCAGACACACACGCAGACACACACACACACACAGACACACACACACACACACACGCAGACACAGACACACACGCAGACACACACATGCTCACACGCAGACACACACACACACACACACACACGCACACGCAGACACACACACACAGACACACACGCAGACACACACGCGCACACACACGCACACACACACACACAGACACACACACACGCAGACACACACGCAGACACACGCACACGCAGACACACACACGCAGACACACACACACGCAGAGACACACACACACACACGCACACACGCAGACACACACACACGCAGAGACACACACACACACACGCAGACACACACACGCAGACACACAGACACACACACGCACACGCAGACACACACACACACACACACACACACGCACACGCAGACACACACGCAGACACACACACACGCACGCAGACACACACACGCAGACACACACACACGCACGCAGACACACGCAGACACACACACACACACGCAGACACACACACACGCAGACACACACACACAGACACACACACACGCAGACACACGCAGACACACACACACACAGACACACACACACACAGACACACACACACACGCACGCAGACACACGCAGACACACACACACACGCAGACACACACACACGCACACACACGCAGACACACACACGCAGACAGACACACACGCAGACAGACACACACACACACACACACACACACACACACACACACACACACGCAGACAGACACACACACACACGCAGACAGACACACACGCAGACACACACACACACACGCACACACACACACACGCAGACACACACACACACGCACACACACGCACACACACACAGACACACACACACACACACGCACACGCAGACAGACACACACACACGCACACACAGACACGCAGACACACACACACACGCACACACAGACACACACACACACGCACACACACGCAGACACACACACACACACACACGCACAGACACGCAGACACACACACGCAGACACACACACACACGCAGACACACACACACACACACACGCACAGAAACGCAGACACACACACGCAGACACACACACACGCAGACACACACACACACAGCACCAACAGCAAAGAGCTGCAGACCAATGAGAAAGCAGCAAGAACATCTCTAACCTGAGTCTAACAGCAGACACGAACAGACGCTTCGCTCTGAGCAGGATTGTAATGCGTACTCGTGCACATGAAGTCAGGGCACTAGTGAACAATCCCCTGGTTCTTATACTGAACAACAAGCAGCCACTTTGTTCCTCGACATCCTTCGGCTGGTCCTGGATCTGTTCTGGAGACCTCCTGTGAGCTGGAGGAGAACTCCAAGCAGAACCTGCAGCAGGTGCAGAGCTGGTTCAAAGAGCTCACAGAGGCTGCAGCAAAATCTGATGCTCTGCTTTAATCTAGATATATCCTAAATGTTCGAGTGCAGGTTAGAAGATGCTTTTAAAAGACACCAAATCACACTGAGCAGTTCCAGAGCTGCAGAGCTGTTACCCACTAAAGCCTGAAATCTACACTGAAGCGCAGTTTCACACCTGCTAACAGGTTAAACAGCAAGAACAAATGTTTGAGGTCAGACGTGCAAACTTGAGAACGAACGGGATAAAAACCTGCAGTTCCTCTGGGAGTCCGCCCCCAAAGATGCTCATGTTAAAACTTAACAGCAGAAATAAACACGTTTACAGCCGGACACAAACTGTTTGGTCTAAAAACTGTTTTAAACTTTTGTTACAGAATAAAGATTGAGAGGAAGTGAAAGAGAGGAATGAACAGGAGAAGAGTGTCACTGTATGCAGATGACACCGTTTTACATATCGGAGAAGAGACTGGCCAACAGTTTATCAGGAGACGGAGACAAACAACTGTTAGGGGCGTGGCCTCTGTGACTGACAGGTAGATGGTGGAGGTCCCTGAGCTCTCTAACTTGACGTAACCAATAACACGGCTGCTGTGAGGTTGCTGTACTAACACTGTCTGCAGTTAATTGGATGTCACTGAGCTCTGATTAACACTAAGCTGTGTCTGCTTGTTGCCCCTGTTGAGGCTACAAAGCCCTGAAAACAGTGGGAGGAGTCACGGTGCTGCATCCAGTTCTTGTCTAAAATCTCATTTCAGTGCTGCCAAAAAAAAAAAAGTTGCCAGGCATCTGTCTCCACCGCAGACAGTTCCTGTTCCCGTAATTACCAAGAATGAACTTATTACCTTTTTTTTAACCTTAAGTGTTTCTGTATAAACTTCAGGCAAAAATATAGAAACAAATTTAAAGCAATAATCTTGAATTAATGGAAGATAATTCAAGCCAACAGTTGGGAAGGTGAGGAGGAGCCGGTGCTTTACCGGCTGCAGTCGGGACGTCCAGATGCTGACAGCAGCTCACGGCTTCGTCATGGAAAAACGCCTCCTCCCCATCCTCCCGCTCAGTGTGTCTTTGTAAAATCCTCCTGCTCGATTACTTCAACACTTCCTCCGATTCTTCCAAACATCCAAAAGCTTCAGCCCCGCTCGGCTGTGACAGGACGTCCGCGGGATTCAGCACGCCGCGCCGACCCGGCCGTGTGAAAATATGTGTTTGTTTAAGAGAAAGAGACAGAATGAAAGTCTGCAGCGTGAGCAAAAGTGTCGCTGTGGTGTGAGCGCGCTCTGACCACACCCTCCACTCTGTCCAGCTGGACTGGTCAACAATAGAGGGATATCCTTGTTTTCACAACCAGCAGAGAGTGAGGGAGTGCGGGGAATGACATCTCTCTTTCCATCAGAGAGCGTCGATGACAGAAGAGAGAGGCGACAGGGAGCAGGAGGAGGCAGGAGGAAAGAGGTGATAGTGGGGAGGTCGAGGGAAGGACAGGAAGCACATGAGGTCATTTCTCTTCCTGACCACACACGGAAATTTGATTGTGTATCAGTTAACCCCACAACTCCCAAAGTCTGGGCCACCGCCCCCTGGTGGGCTGTGGAGGTGTTGCGGGTGGGCCCCCCGAGCCTAAATAAAGCGAAGCAGCGCGACTTAAATAACGAGGCTTTTTAATCCATAACCACCTGCTGCTCATCTGGGTCCAGATCGTGGTGGTGTGGGTCTAAACACCCTCTTATCATCACCTCCAGCTAGAGGACAGATGCTGAACCCGAGCTCCTCAGCCCGTCTCTGAGGCTGAGCCCGCTCACGCCTCACCACCACACCGCTCGGCTGCACTTCCTCCTCCGTCCTGAAGATGACCCTGAGATAATGAAACCCCCCCTGATCCAGCTGCTTCACACTCAGCTGCGAACCTTAATGATGAGAACCACATCGTCTGCAAAAGCAGGGACGAGATCCTGACACCACGCCCCCACGTCCACACGGTGAGAACACGTGGCTCTGAGAAGTCTCCTAACAGCAAACTGTTCTTTTTGATGCAGATCAAAGGTCAAAGCTTTCCTTTACATCACAAACACACACAAAACGCACTCGCATTACAGTCGCACTACAGCAGAGTCTAACCGGCCTCGGTGGCACTGCACCTCGTTATTACTACGTTATTACAAGTGTCTTGGTGAGCAGAGAAACTCATCCTCCGCCTCACGACACGACCGTGAGAATAAAGTAAAGGAAAGCGTTTGACACATCTGTTGCTGCAGATGTTTCTACCTGTGTGCACACATACCTCTTTGACATGTGCGTCATCAAAGTACATCCACCGGCGGATCTTAGTCTGGAAGAAGAAAGTGGAGTAATGTTTCCCGTAGTAGCACACCATCCCGACCAGGTACAGCTCGGACTGCCGAGCCTTCTCCTCAGTCACCCTGTAGAACAGCTGCAGAGAGGGGAAGATGTCACCGCACGCCGCCGACGCTCGCGTTTACCCTTCGCTTTGTTCAGACCGTGCTTTAATGCCGTGTCTTATTCTACTTACATCCCCGAGGCGCAGGCAGGTTCCCAGGGTGTGGATGACGTCCTCGGCCAGGTCCGAGTGATCCGAGTCCCACACCAGGCCGATGGTGATGATCTCCGGACTGTTGAGGAGGACGCGAGCCATCCGCAGCTGCTGACCGCACTGACTCTGAGGAAGAGGAAGAGGAAGAAAGGTGAGCCGTGACCTCTGAGTGCTTCACGCCAGTCAGTGTGTGTGCGTCGCAGGAGAGCTGCTGCTCACAGGACAGTTGCGCAGGTCCCCCATGCTGGCGTTTCGTAGCAGCTCCCCGAACATGCCCGGGGTCGCCTTCTCCCGCGACTCCAACATCTTCACTGCCTGGTTACTGAGGAGGAGGAGGAGGAGTGTTACTGTGTGTGAGTCAGTTCTTCATGATGAAGAAGCTCCAGTCTTCAATAAATATGATCTGGTAAACGCTGGATTTACTTACCACAGGGAGGTGGTGGAGATGTAGTGGACCATCTGAATGAAGGGCAGAGGATCCGAGGAGGCTCCACAGCTGCTGCACACACACTGAACCAGACGGGAGGTGAACACGGAGTGTGTGTGTGTCTCTGTGTGTGTGTGTGTGTGTGTGTGTGTGTGTGTGTGTGTGTGTCTCTGTGTGTGTGTGTGTGTGTCTCTGTGTGTGTGTGTGTGTGTGTGTGTGTGTGTGTGTCTGTGTGTGTGTCTCTGTGTGTGTGTGTGTGTGTGTGTGTGTGTGTGTGTGTGTGTGTGTGTGTGTGTGTCTCTGTGTGTGTGTGTGTGTGTGTGTGTGTGTGTGTGTGTGTGTGTGTGTGTGTCTGTGTGTGTGTGTGTGTGTGTGTGTGTGTGTCTCTGTGTCTGTCTCTGTGTGTGTGTGTGTGTCTGTGTGTCTGTGTGTGTGTCTCTGTGTGTGTCTCTGTGTGTGTGTGTGTCTGTGTGTGTCTCTGTGTCTGTGTGTGTCTGTGTCTGTGTGTGTCTCTGTGTGTGTGTCTGTGTGTGTGTGTGTCTGTGTGTGTCTCTGTGTCTGTGTGTCTCTGTGTCTGTGTGTGTCTCTGTGTGTGTGTGTCTGTCTGTGTGTGTCTCTGTGTGTGTGTGTCTGTCTGTGTCTGTCTGTGTGTGTGTGTGTGTCTCTGTGTCTGTGTGTGTCTCTGTGTCTGTGTGTGTGTGTCTGTGTGTGTGTCTCTGTGTCTGTGTGTGTCTCTGTGTCTGTGTGTGTCTGTGTGTGTGTCTCTGTGTCTGTCTGTGTGTGTCTCTGTGTCTGTCTGTGTGTGTCTCTGTGTCTCTGTGTGTCTGTGTGTGTGTCTGTGTCTGTCTGTGTGTGTCTCTGTGTGTCTGTGTGTCTCTGTGTGTGTGTGTGTGTCTGTGTGTGTCTCTGTGTCTGTGTGTCTCTGTGTCTGTGTGTGTCTGTGTGTCTCTGTGTGTGTGTCTGTGTGTGTCTCTGTGTCTGTGTGTCTGTGTCTGTGTGTGTCTGTGTGTCTGTCTGTGTGTGTCTCTGTGTCTGTGTGTGTCTCTGTGTCTGTGTGTGTGTGTCTGTGTGTGTCTCTGTGTCTGTCTGTGTGTGTCTCTGTGTGTGTGTGTGTCTCTGTGTCTGTGTGTGTGTGTCTGTGTGTGTCTCTGTGTCTGTCTGTGTGTGTCTCTGTGTCTGTGTGTGTGTGTCTGTGTGTGTCTCTGTGTCTGTCTGTGTGTGTCTCTGTGTCTGTGTGTGTCTCTGTGTCTGTGTGTGTGTGTCTGTGTGTGTCTCTGTGTCTGTTTGTCTCTGTGTCTGTGTGTGTGTGTCTGTGTGTGTCTCTGTGTGTGTGTCTGTGTGTGTCTGTGTGTGTCTCTGTGTGTCTCTGTGTCTGTGTGTGTCTGTGTGTGTCTCTGTGTGTCTGTGTGTGTGTCTGTGTGTGTTGACTCTTCATGCTCATACAGTCAAAGTACAAAAGTAAAATATCAGGTAAAGTTAGGAAATGAAGCCACCTGCAGGTGTGTGAAGCAGCAGGTAAACCAGTGACAGATGATTGTTTTAAAGCGACTCGTTAATAAAAAGAAAAGGAATATTACTGGTTTTTAACTGGTTTTACAGTCATTGCACCTGACTGACTGGTTAAACCCTCTCTGTGATCCCAGAGTTTCTTCCTCACCTGCTCATAGAGCATCATGGCGAACTTCTGGTGGGGGATGCAGTGTCTGGCTGTGCAGATGTCTTCTTTGGTCTCGTCTGCGATGTGGAAGTGGATCCTCATCAGGATGTTTTCCTGCACAGACGCAGAAGTGAAGCCTGAGCTTAGATAATCGAGTGAACGCGGCGAGGGCCCGCGGGCACGCCCGAGCTACTGAAACGCTGGTTCTGATTGGTCAAAGTGTAATCTCTACTGTAACACTGATCAAGCGCTGCAGCGCCTCCAGAGTTTGTGTGTCATCGTCTTACGAAGCACTCCGCAGCGTCGTCCATGATGCCGAGCTGAAACCGCTGCTTGTCCTGGAAGGTTTTGGCGAGCGCGCTGCGGAGCGCGTCGGACGGCAAAACTTTGTCGCTGCTGTACTGGAACTGAGCAAAGATGCTCTGTGGAATGGAGAGGTCAGGGGTCAGTGAGAGGAGGGACCGGGGTCAGGGGTTGAGGGTCAGGTTTGGAGAGGTTCTCACCTTCAGAGCGCAGAAAATGCACGAGTCCTCCATGCACTTATGGGTGGTCAGCTGACGGAAACTGCGGCGGAAGATGTCGAGGTGCCAGAGGACCTGAGAGGAGGAAAAACAAGTTTTAAAACGAAACAACGCAGGGGAGCATTCTGGGAAACGGAGTCAGAGCTTCACCTCAGCAGCACAAGTCCTTACTGACGGTGTGTCTCTGTGCTGCTGCTCTAACTCCACCAAACACATCGCCACACCTGTCAGCCAATCACCTGTCAGCACGAACCAACAGCCAATGCTGTCCTGACCAATCAGAGAGCGGGCTTAGTGACCTGAGGAGTTGCAGAAGTAAAAGTAAAGTCTGTGTGTCAGACCAAGTTCGTCAGCATCTCCGTCTGCTGCAGGAAACCGTCTGCACCGCGTGATGAAGACGTCTGCGGCGCGATGATGGGAGCTGGCGTGAGCGTGCCCAGAGGACAAACTGCTGCAGCTGTATGTGTGCGCATGTGTGTGCATGACTGACAGGAAGAGAAAACACGACGCTGCACGTGTCACAGACAGCAAACATCAGCTCGCCGCTCAGTTTCACTGCAGACTTTATAAAAGCTCGTTTAGCAGATCTTAGTGACTCACGCTGACCAGGATCAGTCATCAGGTGTGAATCACCTGCAGGACACACTCGAGACGGAGGGCGCGTCTTTAAAAACATTCTTTCAGTCAACAATCACCTGAAGACACCAAGAAAAACAACCAGAGAGCGGTGGGCGGGCCGCCTGGGAGACTCATCTTTTTAATCTGTCTGCGAGAACAACACCATCTGCAACTGATTTTCCACAACACCACACATTTAGTTTATTTTTGGCTCTTATTTTGAAAGTTCAGTCAGCACAGCTTTTACCATTTTGTCTTTTCCTCACCAGCTGGCTCGCCGCCGCTCACCACAGAGCCGCTTCTCGCCTCCAGAGACGATCTCGTAAATAAAATGTTTGCAGAGCAGAAACTGCAAACTGAATTATGTAATATTTAATGTAAGAAAGTGCCTCACGCTGCACACAAAGTCTGTGAAATACACGCTTTAATTTGAATGCTGGGGTTTCTGCACCTTCACCACATCAGAGCTAAGACGAATTAAAACCTCTGTTGATATCACACAGAAACAAACACTGACAGGAAACTGAATTAGTGGAGCAGAAGCTAAAGACGGCTCTGAGGATTTAAGCCGAGACCAGAAACCATCGAAGCAAACGTGTCAGAGCCGGAGGAAAGACATCAGGACTCGCTGGGTGGATAAGGGCGGAGCTACACCAAAACTCACCAGACTGAGACCGGAGCAGCCGTGAGGGCCGGCGTGGGTTAAAGGGGCATTACGCCGCGTTAGCTGAACCCCGCGGAGAAGCCGGGCGCCTCGCCTCCCGCCGAGCAGCAGGAATCCAGACACGGAGGAATTTTTTCATCACTTTACTCATGAGGAGGGTTTTAAAACGATCCGCGGGGGCCCGGAGGGTCGGACAGTTCTGAATCCTGCAGTGTGTGTTTGTGTTTGTCTCAGTGACTGGGGCCGGCACCGAGCCGCCAACCGCAGAAAGATCCCAGCTGAGCTCGTGATAGAGGAGCAGAAACAGCCAGGCCTAACCACTCAGCCATCTGAAACAGTGAACCAACCATAACCACGGTTTAACCATTACTATGCTTTAAACTTGCAGGGTTTACATTTAAAGACAGTCCCTGATGGAGGTGTCGACACGGTGATCTGATCCATTCACAACCTCACGACCTGCAGACTTCACATCAAACAGCCTGTGAGAACATGGATGACTTACTTTCATTCACAGTGAGCTGAATCCCTTCATGAAACATTTCACACTAACGCAGGAAATTATCATCAGAACAAACTCGTGCTGCAGACAAATGCTGGTGTGTTTGAAGCACACAGCCGGGTGTCTATTACACCGACACGGGGTGAACAGAAATGTGCTGATCAGGACGATTCAGACGTGATGCTGGGGCTTAAAAGCAGACGGAGAGGCGCTGATCTGATTCACGCTTGGACCTGAGTCCTCAGTGAAACAAACTGCGGCGTCAGCATTTGGTCGTTTGCTTCCTCCTTCCTGTCCCCGCCACCCCCGCCGGCTGCAATATGTCGCTGCGGCCTCCAGCAGGTCGACCAGGTAACAAACCGTCTGTGCAGATCTGCACGCCGAGCACACGTCCCACAGAGGAATCAGCGTTTAGCGCCTTTTTTGCTTTGAAAGGATGAAATCAGCCTGCAGGACGCAGCAGGAGGAAACATCAACACCTGAGCACAAAGATCAGCCGGACGAGCCGCAGTCGTCACTTAAATCAAAGCCCAAACGGAAACCTGCAGGACGAACAACACGCAAACACAAAGGGTCCACCACAGACTCTACGGGAGCGACACTCAGCTGATAATCAGGAACATCCAATCAAAATCTGAGATGTTCCCTCGGTCCGTTAGTACAGTGACATCACAGCAGCATTTTACTGATGAGGCCATTAAAAAACAGCACAAACACGGTCCAGAGGTCCAGTTCAGGTGAAGCTAGCAGACAGCTAGCAGCTACAGCCACCTGTGTCACCATCCACCTGTCAGCCAAAGAGGCCACGCCCCTAATAATGCTAACTTTAATACAATTTAAACACATGCTGTGAGGGGGAATTATCGCTAGAGAACAATCAGTGTGCGTATCAGGTTATGAATGCTGGAAAGATTTAACATTGGAGTCAATGGGGACAGATTCACTGAATTTCCAGGATCAACAACTGAAAAAGTTTGATGTTTGCAGCCTGAAGCCTTTAAAAAATGAGCTCTGTGGTGTTTTACATGCTGTGTTCTTACACCTGTGCTGCTCATACTACACATGCATGATAACATCAACTCACACGTGAGTGACCAAAGTAAAATAAAGTCAGAGTGTGCGAGGCTTTCTTGGAGAGGTGGATGTTCTGAGCAGCAGCAGCAGCAGGAGGATGATGATATTGATAGAGTGTGAGCAGCTGCTTGTTACTGCGATCTTCTTCCTCTTCACTTTGCCTTCATCACATCGAAGCCTCTGTGCGTCCCGTCAGTACTGATGTCTCTCCGATCCGCCACCTACTCAGCTCGGCGCGGCGCCCCACAGGCTCGCTCTGTTTGATCCGTTACGGTTTGACGTGACCGGGCGGACGGACAGCTGCAGGGTCCAAAAGGTGCAGGAGTCAGGAGGAAGCATGTGTTCATGGTCGGACGGACACCTGAGGCAGGTCGTTACCTCAGACTCTTTGATGTTGATCCAAGAAGTCGGAGCTCCAGTTTTGCCGATCGGAATTCTGGGACTCATGGGTGTGTGAGAAACCGGAATATAATGATGAGCAGCAGCTTTGTTCACATGATGTCGCACACCTGCAAAGGTGCGTGTGTTTGTGTGGTGACCTCTGACCTGTGCCGCTCAGCCTCTAAGCTCATAACGAGCGCCGTCACTTCAGCAGCACAGACCGCCAGCCTCACCACGAGGGGTTAATGAGTCAGCCTGTTTACACCGATAATTACCACCCTCCCTCCTCCACCCTCCCCCTCCCGATGAGTCATTAACGAGCGCTGCCGTCAGTCTGGGAGGCGACGCTGCTGCACGCGTTCATTACAGCCTCACTCAAAGAAGCGGCGCAGATCAGCTGGGCTGTTATTAGAGAGGGTGTGTCGGACGGCGGACCCGTGTTGTTTACCTGCTGCAGTGCCAGCTGACTGGCTCAAAGGCACTGTGGCCAAAGTGCGAGGCTGTGCAGCGGCGAGCATTTTAAGAGACAGGGCGTCACGACGGGACGGCGAACGGCTCGTCTGGAGGACACGCGCTGACTCACACAGGGTTAAACCAAACCACCGCCAGCGCCATCATGCATTTAGAGCTTAGAGGTCATTCAGTAATGAGCACCGTTCAGACTGTTATTACAGAAGAAACACCGAAAACACACAAACTTCACACGAGCATCTGAGACGGCGCAAACATGTACAACATCTTTAATTCAGCAGATTATGAAGTCGAATAAAGGCATTTAAAGACCAACCATCTGTCTGTCCATCCATCCAACCATCTGTCTGTCCATCCATCCAACCATTCATCCGTCTGTCCATCCATCCATCCAACCATCCATCCATCCAACCATCTGTCTGTCCATCCATCCAACCATCCATCCATCCAACCGTCTGTCTGTCCATCCATCCAACCGTCTGTCCATCCATCCAACCGTCTGTCTGTCCATCCATCCAACCATCCATCTGTCTGTCCATCCATCCAACCATCCATCTGTCTGTCCATCCATCCAACCATCCATCTGTCTGTCCATCCATCCATCCGTCTGTCTGTCCATCCATCCAACCAACCATCCATCTGTCCATCCATCCATCCGTCTGTCCATCCATCTGTCCATCCATCCATCCATCCATCCGTCTGTCCATCCATCCAACATCCATCCAACCATCCGTCTGTCCATCCATCCAACCATCCGTCTGTCTGTCCATCCATCCAACCATCCGTCTGTCTGTCCATCCATCCAACCATCCATCCATCTGTCCATCCATCCAACCATCCATCCATCCATCCATCCATCCAACCGTCTGTCCATCCATCCAACCATCTATCTGTCCATCCATCCATCCATCATCCGTCTGCCTGTCCATCCATCCAACCGTCTGTCCATCCATCCAACATCCATCCATCCAACCATCTATCTGTCCATCCATCCATCCATCCGTCTGTCCATCCATCCAACCATCCATCCGTCTGTCCATCCATCCAACCCTCTGTCCATCCATCCAACCATCTATCCATCCATCCATCATCCGTCTGTCTGTCCATCCATCCAACCATCCATCCATCCAACCAACCATCCATCCATCCAACCATCCATCCATCCGTCTGTCCATCCATCCAACCATCCATCCATCCAACCGTCTGTCCATCCATCCAACCGTCTGTCCATCCATCCATCATCCGTCCATCCATCCATCTGTCCTCTTCCACTTGTCTTTATTGGGGCCATCACCATGGACAGTGTGTCATGGGGCTAACACAGAGAGACAGACAACCATTCACACTTACAGGCAATTTGAAGTCACCAGTTAACCTAACCCCACTAACTGCACATGTTTGGACTGTGGGAGAACACACAAACTCTACAAAGAAAGGCCCCGCCCACATGGTGGCGTAAACCCAGGACCTTCTTGCTGTGAGATGACAGCGACGCATGTGTTTCAGCTCTTCAACGCGGCCTTTAAACTCAACAGGTGTTTTCCCGAGTTTCTTTTCCTGCACAAGACCAACAATAACAATCATCATCATCACAGTCTCTATTAAGCATAAGTTGTGAAAAAATGTGAGGCCTGCAATTACTGACTCTGTAAAAATGTGAATTATTTGAAGAATTAAGTCTTTGTACCTTCTGGAAGTGTGTGTGTGTGTGTGTGTGTGTGTGTGTGTGTGTGTGTGTGTGTGTGTGTGTGTGTGTGTGTGTGTGTGTGTGTGTGTGTGTGTGTGTGTGTGAGAGAAAGAGATGCACAGAGCTCAGCGCTGTCTGAGCAGCTCGTTTTGTAATTTAATGCTGTTGAAAATAAGCGTTACACATAGGAAACATCTGACTTCTGAGTCACTGATTCCACAGGAAGTAACACACACACACACACACCTACCTATCTGTTGTGCAAAGCTAAAATAACAGGGACGTATCAGACGTCCTTGAAGAGATCTGACATGATGTCACAGACTCATCCCAATACCCCTGTGACACTCAGCTGTTTTAAACTGGGCATAAACACGTACTGTTTAGCTCAGAATATTAAGTAAACTGCACTTTTTATATAAAGGCTCAAGATTCTCAGTCACAGTGAGCACGTTCGAAACAGACTAACAACACAAAGTACAATACGAATATAAATGATACTCCTTTTAACAGCTTATACTTTCTATGTTAACATTTTCACAGGATTAATACAGTGCTCTGATAATGTCAGTGTGTGTGTGTGTGTGTGTGTGTGTGTGTGAGAGCCTGAAAGCTGGGGCCAAAGGTCAGAGTGTGAGGCGGTACCTGCAGAGCGCTGTTCAGGAAGCAGCTGTTCTGTCCCGGCTCGTTGCTCAGCCCTTTGCTGGGAGCGATGGACGTCGTGGTGCGAGGTGTCAGGATTCCCTGCGTCCCAGCCCCACCTCCTCCTCCTCCGCTGACACCACTTCCACTGCTGTCTGATGCAAAGTAGTTCCTCTTCCACGACATATTCCCAGTTTGTTCTCGTCTTCGCTCCCTGTAGGGATCAACTTCCTGTCGCGTATTCTCGCTTCAGTGCAGATTGATCCATTTCCTCCAGCCAAGAGGGAGGCAGAGATAAAAATATCCAGAAACGAAGAACGTGAAGTCAAACAGGAACGTTAGCATCCAATAAAATGTAAAAAAACAATAAATCGTCTGAACGTTTGACATGTATCAGTTATCTAAAATTTCTCACTTCGGTATTTCAGGGAATAAAAGGCTTCACATTCTTAATGAGCATCTGTTTACAGGCTGAATATTCCACACGCACAATTCCCAGTATTCCCAAAACCCTCTGCTGTGTAATCGCAGGATTCCTGCCCTTCTATCCACCCTTCAAACATCAGCAAGAGCAGGTCATCCTCATCGCCGTGGCCACGGGGCTGAGGTCGGACACACACTCAGGTCAGAGGTCAGAGGTCGAGTGCAGGCAGCCAATCGGAACATACCTGCTGGAGAGAAAGAGGACAGGGAGGCTTTAGAGGAGGACTTTATTTACCGTCGCGCTCGTTCATGCTCTGCCTGACTCCCCCATCCTCACACACACCCAACCTCTTGCTCATCAAACGCAGAGACAAACGTCTCTGATATTCTGTGTGGACCGATTGAGCCTGGAAGGATGAAGAAACTGAAATGTCCCGAGAGCAGCGCCCAGCTCCAACACATCAACACAAAGGGTGCTGTAAAGCAGTTCGAGGTGCTGCGACGTCCCCAAAGCTCACAGGAAGTATTTCACCACAACAGAAACCTGTAAAACTTTGTGTGCATCCATCGCCTCGACCCCTGATACCAAACCCTGCTTTATTCTGCAGCTCCATTTGATGAGCTTGTGAGCGTGCGTTTGATTCCATTAGACGTTAACACTTAAATCTAAATGACAGTAAAACACTTCCTGCTGTTTAAAGCCCAGCAGGGCCTCAGCGGACGTGTAACACCCTCCGGATTTAAAACACGTGCACGGTTACTGATGACATCAGCAGAAGCGCAGCAGGGCCCGAGCTGTGTGCAAACTGCAGGAGCAGAGACATGAAGGTGTGCTGGGTAATGACAGGCTGCAAGGCTGCCATTACTCTGTAATAACTGGCCTGTGAAGCTCCTCTAAGACCCCAGACTGAGATAATGTTAGGCCTGTGCAGTGCAGATGCTGTAATGAGGAATCCTCCTCCTCACTGCAGTCACCCCCTCTCCACTCCTGCCCACACCTCCCTCGCTCACTCTCGGTATTGTTCCCCCACGCAAGATTAAGACAGACGCAGATGTGAAGATATACAGATGTTAGAAAACCAGACATGAGACACAGAAAGAGGTGGAGCCAGGTCGATAAGGGAAACGGGCTCAGATTTGGGCCTAATGACCTTTAACACCACCCTGTCCAGACTGGAGCTTTGATTCTGATCATGTCCTCATTGGTTAAACCAGACCCAGGCTTCACCTTTGACCTTTGAGCCTGAAAATGAGCTGCTGTGCTGCCTCAGGCGGGGTTCAGTTTGCTCAGACCTCAAAGGCGTAGATCTGTGAGTCGGCGTCTAGGAGGCCGTTTCCTCTCCTACGCAGCGCTCTTGTGAAACAGATGTGCCACAGCCAGGCGGGTTCGCACATTTGATCATTAACTGTCAGACTCGATGGGCGTTCCGGCGGGCGGAGCGATGCTCCTGAAGCGTTTCCCTCTTTAGCCTCGGCTGTTTCCATGCAAACTGCCCACTAAAGCCAAACACTCACACAGGTTATGAGTCACATGGTGTGCATGTTCAACAGCTCACTGAGCTCAGCACGCGCTCGCCAGCACGCGCTCGCCAGCACGCCTCACACGACCAGCACCACCTGCACCAACCTCCTGGTTCGAAGGATCAATGCAAAGGTTTGGAGCAGGGTTTGGGTTAGGAAAGGGTTACACAACGCAGTGCCTTCTGAAGTGGTGTGTGTCCGTGTGTGTGTGTGTGCCTGTGTGTGCGTGCATGTGGTAATCTGCAGGTCAGAGCAGAGGGAGGTGAGGAGGGATTAGCCTGATCAGATGCGTCTGTCTGGTCAGGATTACGCCGTCTGTCTGCGGGTGTTTCTGTGCAGGACCGAGTCTCCGTGTGGACACTTTTCCAAAGGAGCCATGACAGGTTCAGAACTGAGTCCGGTTTCATAAAGTCCAACTGAGCACAGACTCGGGCGGGCGTTTGAATTCACCTCGCTGAGGTCAGAGGTGTTCTCTGTCTGGCTGTAAGCCCGAGGGTTAGAGGGTTAGAGTGAAGCAAACAGCGTGGGCTGCATCATCAACAAACCACTGCTGTGATTTCTGCCTTACAACACGTACAGCTTTGTTTATGATCTAAGAGGGTTCAAATGATTTTAGCGTGGTGAGTGCAAACTAACAGCCTGGATCATTCGACTGCCTCTGCGGCAGTGAAATGTCATTTAAAGGAAAAGAATAAGAGCAAAAGGCAGGCTGAGAGGCAGCGAGGAGCTCATGGAGCTCAAGTGAAACTCGAGTGAAACTCCGAACGACTCGCCTCACTTCCTGCGCAGAAAACTAAAATGTGACGAGGACCAAACGACACGTTCATGCTGCACGATCTCTAATCCGGTTCTCCCAAACCTGCTGCATGGCAAATACATACAGCAGGTAAACCAGCAGGTGGCACTACAGCTATTATTCAATCCAAGACATTTTTCTCAATGAAAGCGGCTCCAGTGCACTGAGACACAGCGAGGCACTGAGGGTCGCTGCGCTGTGGACATCCAGGCTGCAGTTCCTCTAACGTCCATCGGAGGCTCCAGCCTGTGAGTCAGTGAGGGACACAAGTTTGAGTTATCTGATAAATCCTGAGCTGAGGCCGACTAGTGAGGTCTTTGTCAGACATAATTCTTTTCTCAGGCTTAAAAATAATGAAGTGGGCGGAGCTCCGGGCCTACAGGTGATGACAGAGTGATTAATGAAAACTCCAAAGCTGACCAGCAAACAGGTGAAACAAAGAAAACCAATCGTATCGCCCGCTCTAACACTTTTAGGGTGTTTGGGTTTTTACCTGTAGACTAACTTCCTGTTAGCGATTAGTGGTAGCACAGGTTGGAGGTCATTTCCTCTCCCGGTGAGCGCCGAGGCTGATTTAGTGTAAAACTGGTTATGTAACAAAACGGCAGTCTGTCGCAGAGGCTTTACAGCCACACACAGACACACACACAGCGATATAATCACCTCTAATTCAGCAGGCTGGCTCGGTGCTGCCTGTGTGCAGGCTGACCGCGGCTGCACTGGGAGCACTGGGCAGAGTGGGGGTGCTGGGATAAAGCCGGGGGGTTGGGGTGGGGGGGGGCATCGATTTGATTCGGTCCGTGAGCTCACGCCTTGTTTTCAGACTCGCAGCTCCTCATCAGCGAGCAAAAACAACCAAACCCAGGTTTTTTGGTCTCTGAGACTCTTTAAAAACGATTCACCAAATAAACAAAGACCACAATGAAGTTAAGAAACGAACGATGACGTAAATATAAAAACAATAAGACGTGATCAATATTTGGCTGTTTGAGGCTCATTTCAACTTATTAACCTAAAGTCATTTTAAATCTGCTTATACTTATTATGCCAAACATTACATACAATAATACATACAATACAGCTATGTTCTTGTCATTTGATATTTTAATGATTTTAATGCTCATTTTTAATATAAAGTACCATAAAAATAATTGACATGCAGTAACTAGTCGATTTATCATTAAGGCTGCCACAAACGATTATTTTGATAGTCGACTAATCAGATCATCATCCATTGGACGTATAATGAACAGCTTATTGCACCAGCAGCATCTGCTCTTATATAACTATCATTAGCTTACAGCTTTAAGTGTGTAAGGTATGTGCTAACTAACAATAAAGACAAGATGATAGTTTATTAAATTTAAATGAAATTTGCAGATTGTTTCGGTGAAGTTTAATAAACTCCTTGCTTTCTAAAATATAACAGGACACCGGAGTAAATTCTGGAGCATCTCACACTTCTGATAATCAGCTGTCTGCTTGACGTTTATTCAGCTGTGTAAAAACTATAACTTTAATCTCAGCCAAACCGATTTACTCAGGAACAAATAAAATACTAAAAAAAGCCAAACAATAACATTTTCAAGTTATCTAAGTGACTCATATATCATGTTTAACCTGAGTAGTGAAAGACGGCGGTGGGTTTGAAAAAGATTTGCCGGGAGTCCGGTGTTCTCACGGCTCTAGTGACCTAGCCCCCGGCTAGCTATCGAGCTAGTGGGTAACAGACGTCTCCGAAAACGTCGGAGCGCTTTTGAAAATATGCGGTGTCCTGATAAACTGAGCATATT